ATATACCCATTTCTCAACGATATCAAAATAATTTTTGTTTTATAAAATAAATATTATTTATCGACACGTCTCTTTTATTTACAGAAAAGGACCGATGTCAAAAATTTAAATATCAAATATGGATTATGTCAATTATTATTTTTTTGGTAAATCAGACGCAACTCTCCTTTTTAAGGACAAACGTCGACATTTTAGACAAAATTTTCTACTTTTAGGGACTGATGTCATTTTTAACGTGTCTCCTATTTTTAGGAACCGACATTAACTATCTTAAAATTTTTTGCAAATAAGCTCAAAATATAATAGCATTTGAATCAAATGAAAAACACACAAATAAGGGTAACCTTTCTCTGAAAGGATGTTTTAAGGGTGGTGTCTACCTTCCCTTAATCATAACTAACTCGGTACCCAAATCTCTGGGACCAGTGTCTAATTTTAGATTTCTAGTTCCCTCAAATTACTAGATGGCGACTCCAATAAAATCTTTATTTCCCCTAATCAAGAAAAAAAAAATTATTCTTTTTATTAAAATAAACAAAAAAAAGTGGAGTCGTCGCCCAACGTCGCGAAGCGACAACATATGCAGCTCATGTCCAGCAAATGGATGTTGCTCATGCCCCTCAAAAGGCATGTGTGACATCATACTTCAACAAAAAATTCTCAACAAACGTGTCATCCAAAGCATCCAGTTAAGGCAAAGCTGTTCGGATATAGCATGTTACTCCAATCACGATGGTTTGACAATGATTGAGTTTTTTTCTTTTCTGTTTTTTTTTCTCTCTTCTCCTTGAAATTTGCACCAAGCCAGCCAAAAATCAAAGTTGTCCTATAAATCTCTGGCCTAAATCTTTCAATATTAATGAAAATTTAAACTTAATTTAGAAATAAAATGTGTGAATTAGAAAATAAAATATGAAGATATTGAGTGGATTGAAATGAGTTTTAAATATTACCAAAAAAAAGTCTTCGAGCATGTTATTTTAAAAGTAATCCAAAATGAAATGCAAATCCCCTAGATAAAATATGTAAGGATAAGGTTAGTGAAGTAGATATTATGTTATGCAAGTAGATTGCATATTTATACTAAAAAGATGATCATAGATTCTGAAAATTTGAAGAAAAAAATTATTTATGTGTTGATTTTAAAAGTAAAAAAATACAAAAAAAATGGCCTAAAATAAAAAAAATATAGAAACAGGAATAAAAGTTAAATGAAAGTGATGCATGAGAAAATAAAGATATTGAAATAAAATTTAATTAAATTCAAAATACCCAGCTTAAATTCAGTATAAATAAGCAATAAAATCTAAAAAAATTTACTCTGAAACATAAAAGGGTATAAAAAATGTTATATTGAGAATTAATAAAATTCTTATATATGTGTGTTGTGTATATGCACTTGCACTGTCAGCTTTGCTTAGAAAAAGAAGGAAATGAAAGGTCTTCATATTTTTTAAGCTTGATCTTTGTAAAACCTAAGGAAAATTAAAGACCAAGGGGAACAATGTGAGATTGTGCTAGTATAAATACTTAATCATTTGAAATTATAAAAATACAATGAGGGGAAAATAAGAAGTTAGAGAGAGGAATTTAGGGAGGTGAAGGAAAAAGAAAAGGCTTGGAAAACTTTTGACTAGTTAGCTGCATATTATTTCCTAATAAATTTTTTTAAGTTTATTTGAATAAGTTATCATGAAGTTTAATTGGTGTTTTTTATTGACTTCTAAATTCTTGAATTTAGAGTTCTTATATAAGAATTGTGGGGTTTATGAAATTATTATAGGTTGATGTTATTAGAGTGGAATAGCATCGAAATGGCTTAAAATAATAGGTTATTTGAGAAAACAAGTTTGGTAATATTACATATTATAAGGCAACCAATTTTAAAAGAAATTAAGTAAATGGTTTTAAACTTGTAGAAATTGTATGTTTTGATGAGAATTGACGTGGATGTGGTGATCTAGAATGAAATTAATGATTGTATCTAGTGGATATGGTGATCTAGAATGAAATTAATGATTGTATCTAGTTGTGGTAGAATTATAGCAGCATCTTGGATGAGGATTTTGTAAGATAAATATGTAAGATTGTATTTTAATTCATGAAGGGTATAATTAATGTTGATAAGATGATTTATGATAGAAATTAAAAGAAAAGAATGAGAAAAATTAAGACCTTAAGGTCACTCGTATGAAGAAATTTAAGAAGTTGGGATAATTAAAAAAATAGAGAGAAATTAAACAATTATATGTTTTGAAAAATTAAGTTAAAAACTTGTATTTGAAAAATTAAGTTAGTAAACTTGTATGAGTAATAATGGAAGTAATGATCACAAAAATTAAAAATGTTTAGTTCATGACATGGGACGTACCATGATGGAAGTTCTTGTAATGAAACTTAGTCATGGTTCTTAAGTTTATAAGAATTGACAGCAATGAATTGGTCTTCTTTTGATAGAGAACACCTCAACAACTGGACGATGGAGTAAAGTAGGTGCTGGTACATTATATATAGTAGGTACATGTCCTACATATTGATAATTTTATTTTTATCATTTGAATTGTTTTAATTGCGATGTTTTTTAATGTGTAATTTATGAATATTAAATGAAAAGAAAAAGGACAGAAATGCGAACTTAATTAGCTATTTAAGGTAATTTGAAAGTTAATAATGTCAACGTGATATATTAATAACAGCATTTACTTTAATAAAAATATAATTATTAAGGACTTGATTAGTTTTCCTGAAATATAAAAAGGCTAGTGATGTCAATAATTTATTAACGTTACCATGAATATGAAAGGAATAAATGGAATTGAACGTGATTAGTTGTTATAAAAATACAATTAGGTTAATGATGTCAACATGTTCTTTGACATCAACATGAACATGAAAGGAATAAATGAAATTGGACTTGATTAATTGTTTTGGATTATAAGAAGGTTAATGATGTTAATAGGTTCATTGATATCAACATGAACATGAAATAAACAATTGGAAATAGACTTAATTAGCTTTCCTTGAAAAATAAAAAGGTTAATGATGTCAATTAGTTCATTAACATCTACATCTACTGAAAAACTTGATTAGCTATTTAATGGAATGAAAGCTAATGATACCAAACAAATATAGTATCAATATACCTTTGATTAGTCACGTTCAAGATGATGGCTATTGATATCAATTTAAAGTTGATATTGACATCAAAGATAAGGAATGATAAGTAACTAGGATTAATAGATTATTAGCATGGGATAAAAAATAAAAAAAGAGGAAAAAAAAGAATATAGCTACATTTTATTTAATTTAATATTGTTAAGTAAATTATATCATTTGTTTGTATTTGTTTATTGTATTTTTTAGAGTCATCTCATACAAGTCAAAAGTAAACTTATTTATTATTTTTGTTTACATAAACTAGGTATAATATGCTCATTCTGAATTCTGAATTGTAATATATTTTTGTTTAAATATGGCTCTTTATATTTATCTACTTTTATTATTTATACTAAAATTTTATATAAACTCTCTAACCTTTATTATGTTATATAAATATTTATAAGTTATTTTAAATGGTAATTATTGGAAGATGGTTGATGTAGATTGTGATCCAAAATGATTGTATTAAGGAATTGAGATCAAAAAATAAAAGTAAAATAAATATTAAATTAATAACTTGAGATATTTTGTTATAAAGGGAACTCCACTAGAATTTTAGTAATACTTGTGGTAGAGCACATGATATTAAAAAAAATCCTAGTAATTCTATGTTAAAGTATGTATCTTTATCCTGAAAATTTAAGTTTATTACATGTCCTCTCATTTATTTTATCTTTCAATTATAGTTTTGTTTTTTTACTAGTCTTTATTTGTTTTGAATTTTTTTATATTTTTTTTAAAAAAGAAGTTTCATTCCTTTTCATTTGATTTTGTTTAGTTTTTATATCAAATATGGTATTAATTCTTTTTATTATTATTATTTGCTTGATTTCTTTTTTTCTTTCTTTCAATTTTGTCCTTAACATTTTACGTCATTTTTTTCCATATTTGGTCCTTATTCTTTTAATTTTTTTATAATTTTCTAAATTTATTTTTTCTTTCAATTTTTTCTCTTAACATTTCATTTTATTTGTTTTTTATTCAATTTTAAGTCCTCATTCTTTTAATTACTCTTTTTCTATCCTTTTCTTATTTTATTTTATTTTTTTAACTAAGTCTCATTATTTTTTTATTATCTTTTATCAAATTTGATAATCATATTTTGATTAATATTTTTTATTTTTATTTTTTTGATAATTAAGAATTTTGTTCAAGATTTCTTTTTTAGTCTTCTATAGGGTCAAATTGTTCTCATGATCCGAGTTGTTGGTTTTGAAGATTTGCCCAATTTAATTTCTATCTGTTTTTATTGTTTTTTTAATTTTATTATTTGACATTAAGTTATTGAAAACACTTAAAGACTTGAATATTTTGTGGTATGTCAAGGTAACTGATGAGAGCCATTGAACTGGCATTTAATGGATAGTAGAGATGAAAACCAGTCAACAATCAAGCCATGAATACTTCATGTCATTTCTTTATTCACATAAACCTACTCCTTGCATATTATTATCATATATATACACAGTAGCACCAAGCCAAAAGATATTTAACCTATTTCTCCCCAAACCACAGCAGAGATGGTGCCCACAACACTGAAATCCTAGCAGTTCCTTACCCTTAACCCACTCTAGCAACAACACCCCTTATCCCAGAGAACTTCCCAGATCTAATTTGGAGTTATAAGCCTACCATGCTCCATGTCTATTGACAGCATAGATGTTGCTTACAAGAACAGAAAACAGCTTGAAGGTTGAGGGGTTAGGGAGGAGATTTCAAAATACTTGTGGAAGAGGCTGTAGCTAGCTAGAAAATGAAGGTCTCTGGCCAACATCATGTTATGATTTAATTTTTTAGCAAGAAAGTTTATAAGTTTATTTCTAATGGCAGATCAATGTTAAAAACAATACCACTGAGAAAACGAAAAACCCTTGTTCAATAGAGAGAACTAGAAATAAAAAACCCTAACAAAACGAAAAAAATCCAAATACATACCAATGCAAAAACTAAGAACATTGTTCAATAAAGAACACTAATAACTAAAAAAAAAAAAAAAGCCCTAACAAATGGCCTCCACAGCAAGAGTCTTAATGACATCGTCACCACAGGTCGTCGAGCCAAATGTATCTTCAGAAACATCAATGGTGCAAGACTCCTGGCCAACACATGCCTGTGAAGAAGAATAAATGAGAAATTAACATTCAATTATTTGTTCGAACACTCGGTTGTAACAATCAACAAAACAAGAAAAACCTCGAGGTAAGATCGATTTACCTTTTGGATAATAGAAAAGGCATCATTCGAGGCTTCACAAGTGCCCTTCGAAAAAGATCCGCATGTCCCTAGTGGATTGCCGAAGCTGGCGAATTTAATTGCAGAAATTTGCCTTCCTTGGCATGAGAGCTCGATTTTCTTGTTCTCCTCAGCACCGACGCATGCTGATCCGATTGCAATAGTTTGGAAATTAACCGAAGAAGGGTCTCCTCCAAATTCCTCGAACAAGACCAAAGTGTTATCACCTTCGTTGTTAAGGAAGGATCTAGGAACATGATACCTGTAGAGAATGAATAGAACAAGACATCAAATCACAGTCACAACAAAAAAATCATTCAAAAAACAGTTCTTAAAAAAAAAAAAAACTATTACCATCTTTGAGTTGGTTTGCCACAATTGGTTACACATTTGTTGTTATCGTAGGAGCCTCGATAATCGCATGGATCAAGACTGCATCCATCCTCAGCAATGAAACTTGGCCAGTATCGACCAATGCTGTTACCATTAACCCAAGCTAGACCTTTTCCCAGGCCAAGTAAATCCACCACAACAGGATCTGTTCCCAGAGGAGCTTTGAAGGTAGCCTACAAAAATAAAAATAGAAAACATATATATATGAGCATGCATGCATGAAGCTACATGTAATCAATAGATCATTAGGGTTAAGATTTACCTTATACCACGTAAACATCTTGTTCGTGGGGTAATTATCTTGTTGCCATTTCGAAGAATCAGAGCTATAAAGGTTTTGATGTAAGCCTTCCAATCCAACCTTATAGGACCATTTGTGTGAAGATAAATCTTTAATTATTATTTCATCGTCATGGTATCCAACAAGCTCCACAGGGCCACGAACACCAGCTTGTGTCAAGTCAAAATTAGCACCATAGTTCTATAGAATAATAAAAAAGAAAAAAAAACGTTAATTAGATGACTAAAAAATCAAGAATTTCACTTCAATAAATAATTATTAAGATTATTAAGATTAATTACCGCAAATCCAACCGTAGCACTGAGCAAAGTAATGGTGTTTTTCCCCTTATTTAATTTTATTTTTTGCTCAAAAACATAATCAAAAACTCCATACTTAGCCCATTGAGAACCTAACAAAAAAAACAACAATGTTAGCATCCTAATTAATATATAAAATATATAATAAACCCTTATAAATAAGAAGGATTTGGTTGTTACCGATAAACTCCCCATTAACAAATACATGAAGTACTTGACCACTGCCTGTAATCCGAAGAGTCATATTGTCCCCCCATATGGGATCGTCTTCCTTAAGACTCACACTGTAAATTAAAAATAATTAATTAGGTAATTAATTAGATAAGTAACGAATAACATTAAAATAAGAACAGAAAGTATACCTTGTCATGTAGAAGAGATAATCACTCTGATCATTTCCTGCATCTTTCTGGTCAAGAATCTGATTGACCGAGACCTCTCCTTTTCCAAAAAGAATCGATTTATCGTTCGTCTCGGGCCTCCATGACCATGAAAGAGCAGCGGGCTCATCCTCAGCAACATTTTTTTTCTTTACCATCACAGATGTTTGAGCTGAAACCTAACAATATTAATTATAAACAATTGTTAAATAAAACATGAAAAATAAAATTTAATAAACTACAGATTTATATAAATTAATCCCATTTACCTTAGCCGTATTGTATACCACATCTTGGCAATCAGGCAGTATACTAACAGACCATGCAGGCACCTCATAATCTATGCCTTGAAAATTGATTGTTGTATCGTTTCTAGAGTCTGTATTGGTCAAAAAGCAGCTCGATCCCTTCTCAGTTGAGTATATAGTGCCCTAATAAATAAATAAATATACAATAATTTTAACATAATATATATTAAGCTTCAATGTGTCTAATTAAATCCTTGATAATAAAGAAGTTATATACAAACCGAGACAGAATTGCCAAAGTCAACTGAGGAGATGTTCCCTCGTGTAAGAGTATCTTCCATGGAGTGCAACACATCATGAAGCTCCTTCAAATGCCCCCATTTTGGTTGATTCAGATTCCCTATTGAAATCATATAATATATGATCATGATAATATAATTATAATTATGATAAAACGAATAATAATTTAGCTACATAAACAGCTGATCGTTAAATAGTTTATTACCATATTCATCTAATGGAGCATCATAGTCATAAGATGTAGTGATGTATGGACCGCCGGCTGTTCTACCAAAGTTGGTTCCACCGTGATACTGAAATACATAATAAAATATTTTTAAACAAATTAATTATTGTTATTATTGTCATTAACAAAAAGAATTTATGAACATATAAGATTTAAACCAACCATATAGTAATTCTGGAAAGTGCCTCCAAGTTGGTAAAATCTTGCTACAGAAAAGGCAAGATCCTCAGCAGTCCTGTGTGGATCTTTACCACCCCAGCTCTTAAACCTAAAGAAATCAATTTTAAGAATTAAATTAAATAAGATTTAATTACTACTGGGTTTATATGTCAAACAAGAAATTAAAACAAAGTTTAAATATTAAAAATAAATAAATAAAAACGTATGAGTTACCAGCCGGTCCAATTCTCAGTCCACATTTTAGGACTAGTTGGCCTATTAGGAGTGAATTGGTCACAGTACCAGCCATTGCATGTGTTGATCTGGTAACAAAAATCAATCACAAGAATTAAATAAAATAAATATTTCTAGAATAAATTAATAAATTTGAGAAGAAAAGGAGTGTACCATCGGTTCTGGAGCATCGGCCTGCTGGCACATGAGCCATGGAACTCCAATGTGAAGAGATTGAGCCACGTTTGCGCACCATTCAATATACGCCTTCCCTTCATCCCCATAAGACGACATGACGTTGCCATATTCGTTCTCAATCTGGAAACAATTTAATTTGTCAATAAAGAAGAATAATAATTAATGAGTTTATTTAAGATTTAAAATATAAAATATATATTAAATAAAAAAAATGCACCTGGGCAAGAATAACAGGTCCTCCTTGTGATGCAAAGAGATTCTCTTGCTTCACCATGTTAACTATCAGTGTAGTGAAGTTCCTCATCTCATTCTGAAGATAAAAATTAACAGAATAAATTAATTATAATAAATGATTAGTTGTACTAAAGACTATAATTAATGCTTAAATAACTATTTTCTTACCATGAAAACATCATTAGCAGTTCGCAACTGAACACCAGGCATGTTATGCAGCCATACGGGGAACCCACTGAGCAATAAAAATTAAAAGAATTAAAAAAAATACACTGGAATTCAATTAAATAAATTAAAAAACTATTAAATACCCATAATTCCATTCAGCACAAACATATGGTCCAATACGAAGAACAGCATAGAGCCCTTCGTCTTGAATTGTCTTGAGAAACCTTATAAGGTCCAGGTTGCCACTGAAATCATATTCCCGACGAGCAGGTTCATGGGAATCCCAGAAAACGTAAGTTTCAACGGCGTCCAGTCCCCCTTCCTTGGATTTCTTAATCAAGTCCGGCCACATCTATAAAATTAAAATATAAATTATTATGTTGAACTCAAGTCCGGCCACATCTATAAAATTAAAATATAAATTATTATGTTGAACATATATATATATATACACACTGGGATTAAAAAAAATTATAAGAATACCTGGGCAGTGCTCCGGGGATAATGGATGGAACCAGACACCAGAAGTTTATGTTTGCCATCGATGATGATAGCTCTGCCATCGTAGGTAACCTTACTAGCAGTAGCCCAAGGAGCGAGTGTGAAAAATAAAAGGGTGGCGAGCAATACCTTTGAAGGTTGCATTCTTTGTTTCTTTATCGGGAAGCAAAAGCAGAGTGAAAAATAATGTATTTAATGCTTGAATTTATAGGAGTATGTATCCTGTTAGTTGAGATTTACTCAATCTGAAATTCATCACCGATCTATTATCTTTTTAAACAGATATATTTTATCGTAAAATCTGGTCTCCTGACGTGTCTCTTATTCTATAATTATTTTATTTTATCCTAAAATCCGATCACAAATTATCTTTTATTTTATGTACTTGGATTCTGTATCCGTTTGTGTTTAAGTTTAATTCCAGGATTTAAGTTTAGTTGGGAGCAAACTATATATATTATTATCCATTCTATAAAAATAAGCAAATAAAATATGATTTTCAATAATAGAATGTTTTCCTTTTATTCCATGTATATTTCTTATCCAAAATACTATTACAATTTAATCTTTTATTCACAGCAATTATCTCTTCTGGCCAAAGATTTAGTTTCGCTTCTTTTTTTTTAATTTGAATTTAAGTTAACTCTCCTCACGCCATGCAAACGAACTCTATCCTATTTATCCATTTAATAAAAATAAAATAAAATCCACATAATTAAAATAAAATCCCTCCTTACTTTAATTTTCTTATTTCGTGATCGTGATCGTGATCGACATGTTTTAAAAATTAATTTTCTTGTTTTATTTTGAAATCTAAAATCAAATACTGATTTTAGACGTTAGTTTTCTAATCAAATTGGACCGCTCAAGAATTACAAAAAAGCCGCACCTCCTCAGCTTATCTTCAAGGCACTATAGAATCCTGGAGCCTAGCTAATCAAAACAGCACCGCCGGCCTTTCCGGGGGCGGATTTTTGGTGGGAAAATTAGAGCAGTGCTGTGGACTGTTATAATAGGCTTGGGTTTTGTTAAGAGAGTAGGATTAGAAGAACTCTGCTGGAGATCATCGATCTGTTATGGACGGACCACCCCACCTCCTGGTCTGCGAGGATGCCATTCACCACAATGCTTCAAAACAAGAGTAATGGCCACTGAAGGCTTGGGAAGGTGAGTTTGTTCTCCTTATGGTTTCAGATTCAAGTTCTTCGTTGTTTATACGATGACGACTGAAGGTTTAAATGGTCGTTAATTTCAGAACCCGTGGGATTAATCCGAACACCCACATTAATCAAAAAAAATAATGGCTCAATTGAAAATTATTTGGTGTTTATACAATTATTTAATATTTCTTTATTACTTTACATAGATGGAAGCTGGTTTGTTATCAGTTCCATTAAAAAAACAAGAAACCATAATTATTATTAAAAAAAACTCTCAAAATAATTATTTTTTATTCATTCTAGAATCAGTTTATCTCAAGGCTAATATATATATATATAAAGAGGAAAACCCTAATGATATTGAATAAAAAAATAAACTGATCGGTGATAAGAGAATTAGCATAACAGCCATAATAAGCAGAGTGACAAGAAACCAACAAGCTACCATGCAGATTGTCACATGTCAACTGGGATTTTAATGCGAGACAGAACAGAGCAGGCATGAGACCACCATAACTTACAAGGACGATTGCAGTAAGCTGGAATGATGCTCGGATAGCAGAGAATGGCAGCAGTTGAAATGATGCCAAAAACCCTAGGATACCGCAGGAGTCAGCAACTCCCCATCTGACACCGGAGGATTAAAAAAAAAACAACTGCAGTCCTGTAACATCAGGAAGCCAGAGAATGACGTCCGTATGACATCGGGAGCCCAAAAGCAGCATGTAACACCAAAAGACTAGAAGGCAGCAGCGAGCCATAAAAACATCAGTACCAAATCACCATTGAAGGGCCATTGCAGATCCATATTGATACAATAGATTCTCCTACAGGCTGGAAGAACCGAAGGGAGGGGTGGGGATATATAGGGAGGAAGCAAGAAGAGAAGACGGTGCTGAAAAGAGAGAATTATTTACCACCTGATGGGTCACCATGACACTGCTCTCACTACCATTCTCTTAATAGATTCTATTCAGCTAAAATTAGTTATTCTGCTGCTATATAAATAATCAATCAACAGATTTAACAGCAAATAAAAACTAGGCAAGCAGGGGGATGGGACGAGAAGCAAATCAAGTGAAGATGCTGCTGAAAGATTTAAAGCAGTGGGCACTACAGCAATCGAACTGGTCCCCTGCTCTTCAAAATGATGCGTGTAGCAATAAGCAAAAAAGCAGACACCTTGAAATGCAAGCTACACATAATCTATGTTCACTGTCTTTCTAAGACAAGCCGTGATAGAGTAATCAAGCAAGTAATCTTTGCAAAATGCAAGCTACAAACAAGTATTTAGTGCCCATTTGTGAATCACCAGCCTTTGGCTATTTTTTTACCTTCCATGGCTTTCACTCAAAAGCAGAATTCCAAAATGTTTGGTAATACTTGCAAGCTAATATCACTGCCCTTCCACACATGATTTTAGAGTTTCAATTTGTAGCTTTCGAGAAGACGGCCGCAGCAAAAAGCCATAGCTTTCCCAAACGGACCCTAATCAAATCATTTTACCCCCAACATTAACAGAAATTTTATTCCTTTCATGTAAATTAAACATCATAAACATTACAAATCTCCATCCCTAATGGAGCATTTTCACCTACAAAACACACAAACCTAATAAGACTTACAACTCTAAAAATTAACACTAATCAACAGTAACTCTTAGCTCACTTAATTATCACTATCACTATTGTTAACATTATTGCTAGCAGTAATATTGTTATTACCGGTATGGTGGTGGTGGTGGTGGTGGTGGTGATTTCCGCTAGCATTCCCTCCCTTTCTCCCGTTCTTCAACTGCGAAATCTCCATCTGTGTCTGCATAAAAAACTGCATCCTTTGTAACTCCAACTCTTTCGAGAACTTCATCCTTGTCTTCTCCATCTCCACCACCTGCTGCAACTTGGCAGTCTCAGCTTGCTCATAAGCTTCCCCAAACTTCAACATTGCTTGCGTCAACATCCTAATCGAATTCCCCCACCCTCCTTTCTTTTCCTTCCCTCCTCCTCCTTTCCCACCCGCTTCCCTCTCAACCACCACTCTTCTTTTCTTCTGCGGCGGAAAACTACCATCCTCTTCCTCCTCCTCCTCCTCCTCCTCCTCTTCGTCGTCGTCGTCGTCGTCGTCATCCTTACCCCATTTCCGAGCCTTCATATTCTGATTCCTCCTGAAATGATACTGGTTAGTCCCGCCCCTCCTACTACTACTCCGAACCCTAACAGGAATCGCAAATGGAAATTTACTGCCACTACCAACAGCAGGAACCCTCGCAGTAGACCCAATTAGTCTATCCAAAGGATCAAAAAAAGGCCAAGAACTTACCCCACCGCCAGAAGCCATTTTCGCTTTCTCCAATTTATACTTCTTCTTCACGGTATCAATTCTATTCTTGCACTGGATATCAGTTTTCGCAGATTTTGAATAATCTTCTCTACTACTGACAATTTCAGCCACATCTTTCCAGTGCTTCTGCTTTAAGTTCCCTCTGCTCAACTCTAAATACCTTTCTCCCCAAGCATCAATCAACACAGCCGTGGCTCCTTCGCTCCAGCAATCCTCTCTTCCTCCTCCTCCGCTTCCGTTCGCTTTCGACTTCGTCGGCAAAACAAGTGCTAAGCTGTTGTCAGTCTGTTGTGGCGGAGGGGGTGGAGGCACGGTGGCGGTAGCTGGAACAGTCACGGTGATCCTTCCGTTCGGTGGTGGTGGTGACGGTGACGGTGAGGAAGACTCGGTGGTGTTTGAGTGTGACTGTATATCATCATCATCATCCATGACGGAGAGTCGGTGAGATCAACGGTCAGATCTGTTTTCTAGATTCTGGTGAGAGAAAGAGAGTGAGTGAGAAAGAGAGAGAGAGAGAGGAGGAGGAGGAGGAGGAGATGGTTTTTTAGGTGATGGGTTTTTGATGGATGACGGGAAAGTAAACGGTGACGGTGAAGAAGTGACACGTGGTGGGAGAAGGATGGAAGAGAAAGGTTGAGGTGGAGGAGTATGATTGGGGAGGAAATAAATTCCGTCACCGGCAAGGATGGAAGTGGGACTGGGGATTGCGTTGCCGGCTTGCTAGGTGAAAGCACGTGTATGCAGCTACTATGCTGCGTCGAAAGGGATAAAATCATTTATGGTCCCTAAAACGTTTACATCTGTTCAACTCAGCTCCTTTACTTATTTTTGTCAATTTGTTTACTAGTTTTTCTATAACTCACTTTGGTGTGGATGAATAGTTAGGGACTTGATCGTTGAAAGAAAGGGATTCAAATTGATAACAGAACACAGTAAAAGTATTATTCAACCAAATTGTAATATTTAAGGGATCGTTTTTACCATACGTGTCAACTTTGGTTTGACAATATATATATATATATATATATATATATATTTAAGTGGTTTCTAAAATTAACCTTAGCCAATGGACGTGTCACATGATAGACTTCACCCTGGAACGATCGCCTGAAACGACTTGTCTCCTCTTCACTTCATGCTTCGGGGATTAAAGAAAAGCTCATTCGTATGGGAAAAATATTGTATATTACTAGCGTAATAATAAAATTTTATTTTTATTCTTAAAAAAAAACATTAACTAGCGTATAGGGGTAGATTAGTATTTTTGTAGTATTCATTTTGTCACTCTTCAAAGGGCATCTATATACAATGGATTTACTTTAATACCCTTGAAAGCAATTTTTAACTTAACTATAAGCAAAGGCATTGTTTGTTTATAATTTTTTTTAGAATAGGGCACAAACTCTATCACCCTTAAACGGACAATTCTCAAAGCATCATGGGCTGATTTTTCGTTTCATGATGGTTACAGGTAGCTTTTTTATCCTTGTATTGATATTGTCTTTTGACATATAAAAAAATAAAAAATTATTTATTTATGTATTTGCTACTTTATTATTTTTAAATAATATATATAAATAATAGCCGTGGTTAAAAAAAGATATTTTTTTATGTCATTGAATACTTCTTGTTGTTCTTTTTTTTTTATAGCATGTATTTGGATACTTGTTGTTATATTTTTTTTTTTTAGATAACATGTGTATAATAATGATATTCAGTTTGGTATTAATTTAATTTTTTTTCCTTCATTTTTATCATATAACTTGGTTTTCACATTGCTTATAGAAACAAACATAATAAACTCTCAAACTTTTTTTCTTTTCAGATTTAGCTCATATTTTTTTTGTTTTGTTTGTAAAAATCACTTCAAATTATTTTTTTTTAATTTTATCCTTCATAAGTTCATTTATGAAATTTGATCCCTATTTTTTTAATTTTTTTAGATGGCTTGTAGATTTTATTTTTTTCTTACGATCTCATCCATATTCTCTTCTTCTTTTTTACTCTTTTGTCAAAAAATTTGTAGTTTTTAATTTTATTCCTCAAAACAAATTTATGATTTTTTT